CCTGTCGCCCACACGCAGCGTGCTGTCTCGGTGTGCTGCTCCACCCTCTGCGATGCGGGAGATGTAAATTCCCTGAAAAGATTGTATTGTATTTAATTTTACAAAATGCTTCAAATCTGCAACATAAACAAAAACTGTTCTGATTTATCACCCACTGATATTTTAGAAGCTGATATGACACAGTAAATAAATAATTATCCAAAGTTATTTTTTGTTGTTTAAACAGAATTCCGTACAGTCATTGGATGATTTCAAGCCTGGTTGATATGACACAGTAAATATCAAAACTTTAATATTAATGAGTTGTTTTTTGTTGTTTAAACAGAATTCCATACAGTCATTGGATGATTTCAAGCCTGGTGCCCCAGCCTGAAACTCTGTAATGAACCACAGGCTAACTGTGAGCTGTCTGTTATCATCAGCGATCATGTGATACCCCAGAGTGAGGACCAGAGCCAGAAATAGATGGTTTTAACTTATTACAGGAACTGGGACTTAAATGAATCATTTGTGGGAGAACATGAAGTTTCTGCGAAGAACCAAACTGTGTTTCTACTAATGAAAGAACACAAAACTGTTACAACTGTAAAAAAAAAAAAAAAGTAATAAGTAAGTAAAGCAATTTTTCATTAAGCTGCTTAATCTGAAGTAGCTGAACTAGAACCGTGTTAAGGTCATGACCCATGAGACCTGAATAAACAACAGCACGTGTTGTTTACTCAAATAAAATCCAGCGAAACGCAGACTCTGCTACGGAGAAACTGTCACGTAAACATGCAGAGACAAAGTTTGGAGAAGCACATTTTTTAGATCAGCGACGCACAAACAAATAAACGACACTGAGTCAATTCTAAATGAGCAGCGTGACTTACTCTCAGACCTGACTAGATGGAAGAAAAAAAAAAAGCCCAGGAGTCCTTATCTCTTTGTGGGGTCCATGAGCTGCATGAGTGGGACTGTTGTGTTGGCCTGGCCCATATAGACACTGTAGCCTGTCCTGTTACACTGTACATATCAGGTGTCAGGTTTGGCTATTCATATCTCTGTCTCCATGGTGACGACTGTAAACGTCCAGCCTTTCTGTCTAAAAGCGTTACTACAAACACTCTGGCACGAGTTTTTCCGAGACGTTCTGGGGGGGGCGCTGTTGAGCCATCTCATTCAACATTGTTTCAAGGGTTGTAAATTAAGGGGAAAGTCTGAAAAGTTTTTTGTTAATAATCAGGTCTGAAAAAAATCTGAGCCCTTAGAGGGAAGGTGCAATTTCTATTAATGTTGAACTGAAACTTTAATATAATATTTACACAGAGATTGCATTTAAATCTATGCCTGAGACTAATTTATTTACAATGGCTTCTAAAGCCCAACATTGCCAGGATAAATTTTGATGTTATATTTTTGGCCCATGGTTTTAATTCATCGTATTATATTATTATTACTATTATATTTTTTTGTTTGTTTCTGTTTTTTTAATTCATCGTATTTTTTTTGTTTGTTTCTGGGTTTTTTTCTGCCTTTTTCTTATGTTTAGATTGTTCTAATCTTCTACATAAAAAAGGTTGAAAACACTTTAGAGATGATCTATAATGTAGCTTGTGTTCTAAACCCATCAGTCACTCGGACTGCACACTTCATATTTATTTACACAATTATTGCTGACCTCCTAAATGTTAAACTACACATATTTTACAGGTTACTGATATCATCTGCTCTACGGTTGTATTCATGTCCCACCGTGTCTCCCGTGCGATACGGCGTCGAGCCTTTGCCGCCGGCGATGCTGAATCCCAGCCCCTTGTCGTTGCGGAAGAGACACGTGGACAGCTTCTGGCGTGGGCCGCTGGAGCCCGCCTCCATGTTGTAGGCCAGGCCACTGCTGCGTCTCTCCCTCGGGAAGTAGTCGTCTTCTGGCCTGAGCGGCGTCGTGGTGATGGCGTTCTCTGGCTCTACCATACGCTCCCGTAGCACCGTCATGGAAACGGTGGCGCCTGAGCTGCGGAGAGCCTCCACCGCCGTGTGGTGCTCTGCTTGGTGGAGGTCTACCTCGTTCACCTGTGATTGTGTAAGAGAGAGTGAGACAAACAGTTAAATCTAGGATTAAATATAATTTTTTTAAGATACTTTTTTTGAACCAGGAGAATCTGGGCGTCACCTCTAAGAGCTTGTCTCCCACTTTGATCCCTGCTCTTGCTGCAGGCCCCTCTTCTGACACTCTGGAGATGAAGATTCCCTGAAAAAAAAGATGAAAAACCAATATAAAAAAAACATCTATATATATTTGGATTTGTGGAGAATATTCACCTTTTTTATTTGGTCCTACCTCATCATCTCCTTTATACGGCGTCGATCCTTTCCCTCCAGCAATGCTGATGCCCAGGCCTCCTGTTTGTCGCAGTATGGTCAGAGTGTGCTGCAAGTTAAGGGATGGGTGGGAGTCAGCGTAACGTCCAGTGAAAAACCAAACACCACTTCACTTGGTACAGACTCAGAGGGAGGTAAGCCCACAATGGTACTATGTTCTATGTCACTGTTTTATGTCTTAAATGCTTAAGTTGTGGGTGAATTCCCTCTTCCTGCCAGAAGGTGGTGTCCATCTCATGAGTGCCATCCTGTGGTCATGCCAACGGTTGTTAAAATGAATGGAAGAAAAAACTTGGACTTGTTAAAAGATGAGGATAAAAGGAGGAGGTTTAACTGTTGTCGTTTACTCTTAACCACTTACCTCACATTAAATAAGACTTTAAATAAAACTTAGTTTTACTGTCTATGTGATGGAGACTTGACTGGAGAACAGGTTTTACAGTAAACATTTCATAATACTCTGTGTATTCTGTGTGTGTGTGTGTGCAAGCCATGCAAAAAGTATAGGAGTGAAAAGACAGATGAGGAACAGGTGTGTGTGGGGAAAAAAAGTGACAGACAAGATGAGTGTGTGTGGCCGTGGAGAAGGTGTGGACGTCTGTAACTAAACTTAAAAAAAAATGTCACTGTGTCTTAAAGAGACGAGATTATCTTAACTTAAAGGAAATACGGCTAATCTTTAAGGGGAATGAGTTGAATAACGACTTTCTTTGTTCATCTGCGGCTCATCCTGTGGCAGCTGAAATACAGGAAATGACTGATGTATTCAGAGAATAATAAAATAGAACAAGGTTTAAAAATAAAACCTGGAGGAAGCAGGTGATGTAATGCAATCAGCCCATTCATTCCAGGGCAACACAGCATGAACAGGGGATGGAGGTGGGCAAAGCAGCAGAAGCAACAACAAAAGGAGGAGAGGCTGAGTGTGGCAGAACCTGGTACTGGACCGGAACCTGACCCAAAATACTGTTTCATTTATTTGATGATGGCAAACAAAGGATGTTTTAGTTATAGTGCAAATAATGAGACATTTTGAGAAGATACTGCACTGAACAATGCTACGTAGAGTTGCAGATCTTTTTAAGCCAAATTCTCTTGCCGGTTTCATTAAATATTTGTTTTTAAAACTTTGCACAAAAACCTTTCATTTCAAACCTGTGACATTGGGATGGATTTTTGGATAGGACTGTTGTTAAATTAGGCTTAAGCTGCTGAATGTGTGATACGACAAACAAAGATATCAACAGGTCAAACAGAGTAAGTACATTTTCCTAAATATTTAGTCGATTAAAGTGATTTTGATTTGATTGAATTTTCTGAATTATTCAAATGACAGAAAGTTATCGTCATATTTTTTGTCTCCGTCCTTTTGAACCCAGGCTCTGCCACACTGCTGATGGTTAGAGGTTCCCTGATGATCCGATTGGATTAGGGATGAATTTCATGTGGTCATTCCTCCACCTTTAAAGGCAGGTGGTGGTTGAATGAGTGGGTGAGAGGGAGGAAGGAGGGAGGGTCACAGAGAGAGAGAGACAGAGAGAGAGAGTGGACGGGAAAGAGGAGGTACAGACCTCTTCCTCCTCAATTCGAGCAGGTTCAATCAGCAGATTATTGACTTGATCAAATGACACCCCCTGTTAGGACAGGAACCAGCAAGAAGCATGCGGATTAGTCAGGCCAAAAAAATAAAAAATATGCTCACACACACCAAAGGAAGAACACTTCCTTAAACTTTCCATCAACTTCACCACACACTCACACACACACAAAACACTCTCCACGTCCACGTCCATGGTCGTGGACCACCTCGAAGCCACACTCGCTCCCCAGCCACCGGAAGCAAATACAGGCAGAGATGGAAAGACAAGACCAGAGAGCTGAGCTGGAGTGCAAAACAAGCACACACACACACAGAGTGTAGAGAGGTCGGACAAGAGAAGGCAAAAGAACAAGCCCAGCCTCCACACCACACACAGACGCCGCCTCCAGGAGCAAACCAGGACTGCAGGACAGGTACAAACCATACGACCAGAAAAGTTGGTACAACACCTTAAAATGAGATGAAAAAAAAAAAGATAAACATCCACAGCTCAGAGGCAGAGGATGGGGGTTTTGGACTGGCCTTCCTGCAGTCCACATCTTTCTGCTACTGATAATGTTTGAGCATCATGATGGTTCGCAGTCTCTCATTAAAGCAAATTAAATTCTTGATCTGGCTTGTTAATAAGAAGTAACAATTACGATAGAAGATAAACAAAAAGATTATGACCAAATAATCAATCTTCTCTTATTAAAAGTCAAACTGGTCTGGTCTTATTGACCTGGCTAACTGTCTATATATATATTAAACAACAAAAAAAATCTGTAAAGATCTTTACAGAAACATTTTGACAACAACAGTTAATAAATGTAGGTTTTCTTTCCCCAGGAGGTGTACCAACTTTTTTGGAAATGCGGTATGTGTAAGAGACTTAAAAGACAAAACAGCAATTTAAAGTAAAGTGAATTGAATCAGAGAAATTTGCCGAATATTTATGATGAAGAAAAAAAATCAATCTTAAAAATCTACCAAAACTTCAAACGTCTCACAAACGACTGTTACCATATTAGACTCAATGGTTCTCACATTCCAGCTCTGCCAGTACAAGTGGTGGTTGGTCTGAGGTCAGACACACAAACAGACCCACATCCATAAACACACACACACGCACACACACACACATACACAACAGATTGGGTGAGATGATTGTATTTGATCACAGTGCTCCAAAAAAAAGCATCAATTAATCAACAGATCTCATGGTTTGACATCACTTCCTACTGATCACTGAGGAGTTGCTGATTTCTCACCACACTGACACACACAAACACACACAAGTATCAGGTCATCTTTAAGAGAGCAGAGTGTGAAAATGTGATGTGATTAAATCTAAGAGATGGATGACAATAATGCTGAGAAGTTTAGTACTGGAGGAGAAGCTGAGGTGAGTCTGCAGCTGCTGCTCAGTAGCTGGTGTGGAAATAAAAACTGAACTTCTGCTCTGATCAAACTCCAGCCATGAGAAAAAAAAACAGTTTCTTTATCTTTCCTGTTTTGACAACTGCACAATGAAGCTATTTTTAAAAAACTGTTAGGAGAGGATGAGGAGTGTGTAGGCTGTCGTTGTGAGGAGAAAAAAAAAAATCTAGTTCTGCAGAAGTCGCTCGAAAAACCACATCTGATAAAAACGTTGTCTTTTGCAACAACAACAAAAAAAACAACAACTCCCTGTGATAAAAAGCACTTCTCTTCATGCAGCGCCACATCCTACAGCAGCACAGCAACCTACAAACTACAGACACAAGGCAACCTGCAAGGAGGCTGATGCATTCAATACACGAGAAATGTGTGTGTGTGTGTCTGCAAAATGACACCTGATCTAATCAGCTGAGAAAATAAAGTTGTTAAAAATGACGTTACTCTAAACATCAAGCCCTGATCTGAGAAGCTTAAAGTATTGAGAAATGAATATTGCAATATTTCAGCGTATCAATACTTTATAGTTAAAATTTAAATTTATACTTGGAAACAAAAACTGGCAGTGGTTGCCAAAGTAGGGAGCGGGCCCCCTTGGGACACTGAAGAAATTCTAGTATTTATATATATAGAACACAGGAACGTATTGTTCTCTTAAACATTTTTTCCGCCTGCAGAAAAGCATTTGAAAAAATACTTTGAATTGTTCTCTTAAACATTTTTTCCTCCTGCAGAAAAGCATTTGAAAAAATACTGAGAAAAAGAAAAGACATTTCCTCAGGTAAGTTAATATTTGTTTCCAACTCTAATCTCAGAAAAATAACGGACCAACTCTCTGCTTCCTGTTCATTTCCTGAAAGTCATCCTACCAGAGGCAGACGTCTCTCCTTTACCTTGACTTGACTGTTGTTGACCTGCTGCCTGCTGTCGTCCAGCTCCTCCACTCTGTGGTGGCGCTGAGGAGTGCGCATACTCAGCTCATCGTCTTCCTCCTCTTCGTCTTCCTCGTCTTCCACGGCCTGTGTGGGAGAGCCGAGGCCGTCCGCACCGAAGCCCTGCAGCAGAGCGGCCACGGCCTCCGGTTTGGGCAGCTTGGTGATCTTGAAGTGCTTTTTGTAATGCGGCGTGTCCTTTCTGATTAGACGCTGCTTCTCAGCGGGGAAGGTCGGTCTCTCATCTTCATCGTCGCTCCTCTCGCCGTCTTCCCCGTCATCGTCGTCGTCCCGGCCGCGAATGATGGTCTCTTCTGCAAAGTGCACGGTGGGCTGGAGAAACAGACAGGTGAGATCAGTGTTTATTCAAATTATTATATATTTCAAAGTACTTTCAGACCGAATCATAAATGTTACACTGACAGATGTAAAAAAAAAAAACATTTTTTCTATAGAGCTTGATATGAAGACGTAAAATGTTTAACAAGAATATTAATGTTCATATCAACTTAATTTCTTTTAAATTTTCCTTCAAAAGTGTCCACCTCCTATGAAGACAGGAGCTAATGGTCCACTACTGCCTCGTGTGGTCACTAAAGTTAATGTGATTGAAGCCGTTTAAACTCCAAAGCCCATTCAGAACATCACAGATTTAAGCGTGGACAGACGTGGACAAGCTGCTGGACGGAAGGACGTTTTCACCTCGATGTACTCCACCTCCATCTCATCCAATTCCTCCTCCTCCTGAGGGGAGTGACCGTCCACCAGGTCGTCCTTCTGCCCTGGGATGGACGCATTCTGTTTTTCCTCGTGGGACGTGGCCGACAGCGTGCTGTTGGAGACCTGGGAGTCGTGGCTCTGGTTGGAGAGGTCACTGAGGCGTTTGTCCTGAAGTTACACCACAGTTCCACAGTCAGACACTCCTTCAACAAACCGTGGGAAGAACATTTGATTATCCTGCAGCTACCTGTGCGTCAGCCGACTCTTCTTCTCCTTCACCTCTGCAGGCCTCGCTCCTCCTCTCCTCGATCACCTTCTTCATCACCTTCAGCTCACTGGGGTGCGGCGTGGCTCTGCGCTGAAGACCCTGCAGATTTAATTTCAACGTTTAACATCGGAGGTGGACCGGTACGGACCGGTTAAAAAAATGTGTGTGATTAGACAATGATGTCACTCCTCACTCTTCGGTCTTCCGCCGCATCGTCATCCTCCTCCTCAGCCTTCGTCTCTTCCTGGAACTGAATGACCGACACCCTGTTCAGGTTACTGTCCGTCCAACTGTCGTCCACGCTGTTTTGTAGCAAGTTTTCTGATGAAAAAAAGAGAAAAGATAAGAGACGAAAACTTTAACAATATGTTCTACTTAAAACCAGAGTTACAACCGATGGTAGGAACAGGTGTTCAATGGTGTTTAATGTTCAATAAAACAAAAGTTTTATAGTGCAGTTAAAATTGAGTAACTTTTATAAACAGAATATTTACATATTGTATTTTAGTTGAATCTAATTCAAATTTTGTGAAAACTAATCTTGATATTTTCCCGACTAAAACAAAACTAAAATTAAAACTGTTGTATGGAGTAAATCCATGCTAAGATTATGTCACAATTTAGTTAAGAGATTAGGGATTATTCAGGAACTGGATGTCAGAGATTAACAAGAGCTCAAAGCTTTTTTTAAAAACAATAACACCAGCGCTGCTCACCTAGGCTGGGCGACGGCTGCTGCGGCAGTAAATAACAGGTCAACACCTTCTCCCCTGTTCGTTCATCGTCTTCTGTCTGGAATTTGAGCATGGGCTGTGATTGGTTCTCTGCCAGCCACATGGCCTTCAGGTTGAGGTTGGTCAGAGCAAAGGGCAAGTTTTGTAATCTGGACCAAAGGAAGGAATAACAGCGGAATATGTTGAGTAACGAATAACGGAAATGCAGACAGGAGGAACGATATTGATCCTGGAATTCTGGGAGTATTAAATGTTGAGGCGGGTCAGAGGGGTCACCTGTTTCCAGCCACGTCCAGCACATGCAGCTCAGTAGCATCTGCGAGCTCAGCAGGCAGATTGCCCAGGCGGGTGCCCCTCCGCGCGGGATTCATTTCCTGAAAGTCATCCTACCAGAGGCAGACGTCTCTCCTTTACCTTGACTTGACTGTTGTTGACCTGCTGCCTGCTGTCGTCCAGCTCCTCCACTCTGTGGTGGCGCTGAGGAGTGCGCATACTCAGCTCATCGTCTTCCTCCTCTTCGTCTTCCTCGTCTTCCACGGCCTGTGTGGGAGAGCCAAGGCCGTCCGCACCGAAGCCCTGCAGCAGAGCGGCCACGGCCTCCGGTTTGGGCAGCTTGGTGATCTTGAAGTGCTTTTTGTAATGCGGCGTGTCCTTTCTGATTAGACGCTGCTTCTCAGCGGGGAAGGTCGGTCTCTCATCTTCATCGTCGCTCCTCTCGCCGTCTTCCCCGTCATCGTCGTCGTCCCGGCCGCGAATGATGGTCTCTTCTGCAAAGTGCACGGTGGGCTGGAGAAACAGACAGGTGAGATCAGTGTTTATTCAAATTATTATATATTTCAAAGTACTTTCAGACCGAATCATAAATGTTACACTGACAGATGTAAAAAAAAACAACATTTTTTCTATAGAGCTTGATATGAAGACGTAAAATGTTTAACAAGAATATTAATGTTCATATCAACTTAATTTCTTTTTCTTTTAAATTTTACTTCAAGTGTCGACCTCCTATAAAGACAGGAGCTAA